GTGGGGGTCACGAAGCGGAAAGAATCATTCACCAGCGCTTCCCTCTGCGCCCAGCACCCCTCGTGCTCTTCCTTTTGAAAAGCACGTTGAACTTTCCTAGGGCAATTCCACAGTCTTTTCTCTCTCATCCTGAAAGTAATTTTAGCCAAGGAAAAGCAGGATTACACTTTCATAACATGATACGTTTATCTTGTTTTTTCTTCTTTCTTTCCTCTGTCCTGCCTCCCCCCCTCTCACGACCCTGGGTAAATCTGAGCCAAAGGGGAACTGGGATTAAATGTCAGGGTGGCATCAGATCTGAAGAAGCACTGCTCTCTGGCCCCATCCATCCAAAAACCTCAATATTTTTCCACTCCCCCGATAGATGGTTATTATCTCTCGGGTGAGGAAGCCTTTGGACTCTGCTCTGGCAATATTGTCCTTTGCTGAAATGAAAGGGGGAATTAGAATTCAGAGAAGGCTCCCACAGAGAATAGGAAGACAAAGATTAAATCACTGATACAGCGTTGTTGCCTTCGGTTCTTGAAGGTCTTTTTAAAAAAGTCTCCTCCAGAGCAGTTTGGCTACCACCTGAGGGTGTTTTGAAAATCTACATTCGGGGAGGGAAGACAAGGGCGGGCCTGTGAGCGGTCTTGCGGAATCTGGGGTCCAAATCTACTGTTGCTGATAAAGGAAGGTGAGAGGCTCTTGGCAGGACGGCGGCGCCGAACTGGACAGCCTGCGAAGAACCTGAGCCCAGCCCTTCCGGCCACCGCCACCCCACACTGTCCGGGGGGCAGCTTCCGCCCCGGCTGCTTAATGGAGCAGGCGCCTTCCATCCCACTGCCCGGACCGCCAGTTGCGGTCTCGGGTCTCGGTCTCCGGGTAGTGACAGCTGGTAGTTCCCCCATCCCCCCCAAAGCACACTGTTTGCGCCAGGCCTAGTTTTCGAGAGCCCCCTCTAGTGGAGATAACCGGCTACTTCGGCTTCCCAGGAGCCCAGAGCCTTGAGAAGAGCCCCTGCGCGCTGCTCTGGCTCCTCTCTGCTCCAGCTAGGTGTTCGCTGTCAGCCCCTTCCTCCGCCAGCCGCTGTCACTCTCCTGCTCTCTCCCTTCTGTCCCCCAGCCTCTGTGTATATCTGCGATGCCCGCACGTCCCGTGTCTACACTTTGACTTCTGCCTTCCACGCGGCCTTGAGTCTGTATCTTGGGCCGCAACCTCTTCGGTCCACCTGCTGCTTTTCTCCCAAGTTCAGGGTGCCCGGCAGGGGAGCTAGACTACATCCGGGGCCCTGGGGTCAAAGGGCCTAACTCAGAGCAAGGCCTCTGGAGGCCCAGGTTTATGTGTATTTCTGAAGCGCCTGCCTGGGAGCTCGGGGAGAAACCAGCCAACTCCCCTTGGTGGACTCTCCCGGCCACCTGCCTGCTCCAGGCTCTGACCGCACCTGCCACAGGAACAGCAGGGAAGGGAAAAGAGGTGGGAGGGGGTCGGTGCAGAGCAGGAGAGAAGGGGTGGATGGGGGCCAGGAACAGCGTGGGGCCCGGTGGACAGGGGAGACAGAGCAAACATTCTGTGGGCAGGAGGGGCCCAGGGAGGACACCAGCTGGTCTGGGTTTCCCAGGCAGGAGATTAGGCCAGGACAGGGCAGGAGGTTAATGGTTAACCAAACTAACTGCAGAGAACTTGTGCAGGCCAAGAAACCCAAGCCTGTCCTTCCAGCTTGCCACCTTCCTCTTCCTTCCCTCTCCTTATATTCGACTAGTGGGGACCTGCTACCCAACAGAGAACTTTATCGCCTCTATTTCTACCCTCGGATTCCAGACAGAGCAGTGTGGGGCTAGATAATGAGGTTCCTTATGCCCAAGTGCTAGGGAATAGGCCGGAGAGGGCCTGAGAGCTGAGCGGAGGAGAAAAACGATGGCCCCTTTCCACCAGCCGTCCCTCCTGAGGACCAGCTGTTTGGCCCGGGGAAGGACCGCCTTTTCTCTCTGTCTCCACAGGACTCACCTTTAGAAATGGTCAAAAAACCCCAGTGGACACACTCCCACCCCTCATTGACTCTAATCAGGCATGAAATCTTTGTAACTAAGTGAAAAAACTGTTTCCCATAAGGGCATGGATTCCATTCATTATTGTTTGAACTGAGCATATGTGTAGGGGAGCAATAGGCAATCCACATAGAATGAACTGATGACAGACTGCCCCTGGGCAAGGATGGCAGCGGTGGGCTGGGGAGTGCCCGGGAGCTGACAACCTTCTGCACCTCCTAGCCCCTTGCTACCCGCTCCCCTACAGACAGGCCTGAATTATTTCTAGTTAGCAGACTGCCACACAATGCTCCAGTCTTTGTGGGTGAGGGTGGGGTGTGGTGCCTGGCTCGGTGCTCCTTGCCTCTCCATTTGCCATGATGGACAGAAGTATATTGTGCCCCATCTGTGACAGCTGTGTGGCAACGCATGAAGACAGCTGGGGAGGGGGGTGGAGACAGGAACTGCCTCCCCCATACCAAATCCTATATCCTGGGGAGGCAGTCATAGCATACAAGGTAGGATAGAAACTCTGGAACTCCCTCAACAGTGGCCACTCTAGCACCTGAAATCTGTTATAGTACCTGAACTAGTGAGAGTGGGCTGCCGCCAGCTGCCACCAGCTGCCACCTTGTATATTTAACCATGTTACTGGCTTCCCCTCCTGCTCCTGTGTTTCCTTGTAACATGCCCATGAAATAAAGATTAGCTGAATAATCAGAAGTCTCTGTAAAGGGAAAGGGACCTAGCGGAGGAAAGGCTGTTCTTTGAGGATTTTCTTGCTAACCTCATTTTGAGCCCAGACTCCTGCAAAACAGATGGGGAACTTTTACACTGCCCACATCTGCAGCTTTGGATGGTGGAGAGAAGAGGGTGGATGTTCTCCGGGTCCCTAGAGGCAGGGGGAAGTATCCAGGGGAAGGGGGCTACTGGCCTTGGGGTGGCAGGTTCTGTACAATGGTCTAAGAGGTCATAGAGTGCTCCTTACTCTGACCCTGGCTGAGAGGGCAGCCAGCCCATTCCTGGCAAACTCAGGAACCAGCTAGGATTCCCTCACCAGACTTGTGGTCCCTGGGTAGTGGAGACCTTCTGCTTCTTTACCATGTCAGGTCCTGCTGCTCCTTGGCAGAGTGTCGCTCAAAATGCCATTTTCATTCAACTGCTTTGTGAGCCAATTTGCCCCCATCCTAATGCAATTTTCTGGAGACAGTGAGAGTGCGGAAAGGGCAGTCAGCATTGCCCTCCTCCAGCAGCAGGTCCCTGAAGAGGGCCAGCTGGGGGACAGGGGCTACCACCGAGGCTTGGGGCCTGGGAATGCTGGCGGGTGGAGGGCTTTGGAGGTGACAGACAGTGACACTAGGTGGCAAACTCATCAGGGTGTCTTGACAGATTCCTCTGTTTCCTGGGGTCCCTGCCCACTCTCTTCAGCCTCTCACTCCTAGGCTACCAAGTAGAGAGCACAGGTAAGTAGTTCAAATGGTGCTCTATGAGGACAGGAAATTAATGAATTCTTCTTGCTTCTCGTCTGGAGGTGGTGCGGGGAGGGATGAGTGACTCTGGGAGCTTTCTGGGGTGACTGCACAGAAGTTGTGAATTTCAATTAGGAGTAGCTGATTTCCTCCAGCCAGGACTGGCTCTTCAGGGGCTTCTGTCACTCAGTTGAAGGCCCCGAATGAATCCAAAGCCAGACCAGGGTGAAGAGCGAAGTTTCAAGGTCTGGCAAAGACACCTAGCAAGAATGGAGCCCCTGGTCCTATGGGACTGGACTTAACTCACGCTCCTAAAGAGTCCAGTCCTGTCCCCCCCCAGGCTATCATCCTGGTAACCTTGGCCCCTGTGCTGCCCCACAGGAGGGTGGGATGCTCCCCAGAATGGCTGTGGGCTCCTCCCACTGACGTGCTCCCGTGCCACCCCATGAGCTAAGCAAACTGTCCCACCGCCATTGCATCCCTAATTTCCCCACAGCCATTCTGTCTGTGGGGAAAGTCTTAGATCCCCTCAAGGGACCTGCTCGTATTTCCAGTACCCACCACACAGGCTTTCATTCTTAGTCCCCTGACTGACCTAGAATGCAGACCTTTCAGATTCCCTCTCCTACTCCTGGTCTAGCAGAGTTGGGGTAGGCAGCTCTTCCTAGGGCAAGGGTCATGCCACACAGGTGGACGCTTTTCAGGAACCTGGAACGGCAGTTTCTGGCCACTCTGATCACCCTCTAGAGCTCTAGATCACCACGTGGGCCTTTTCTGGCTACCTGCGGGGTGGATGTGACAAGCTAGAATCCTCCAAGCTCCTATTCCACTTGTGGGGCGGGGCGAAAAGGAGCACATGGAGGGAAATATTCTCAAACGGACTACAAGAAGCCTCTGGGATCCTGCGCAAACTCCCACTGAACCGTCCATACTCATCTTGTTCAAACAGGGGAAATGGACCCCACAGGCGCGACATAAAAGAGTGTGGGGATATCAAACACTTATCCCCATCAGTGCCTTGGAATTGCTCTCCAAGAGCCGCCAGGAACCAGCTCGAATGATGATTTTCCTTTCCTGATTCCCAGTCCTCAGATAGAAAGGAACAGCCAGCGGCCACCAAGGGACTCCGGGGCCGGCTTGAACGCCCCCAAATCGATCGCTGGCCACAGTGGCCTTGAGTTATCTTGCTTCTGCCACCGAGGCCCTCCCGGGATCTCGCTCTGGGACAGCCTCACCTCCTCGGGCTCTCCTGGAGCCGCAGGCTGTTGGCAGGTGCGCGGTGGAGACGCCGTGGCCAGGAAGCCGGCAGCCCGCGGGGAGGAGGCGGCGAGTCCGGGGCGCTCTCCCACTCACCCCGCGCTCTGGCCCGCGAAAGTGGCCGAGCTCGCGCGGGGACTCGCCGGCTGTAGCCAAGCCCGGGCTACGGGGTCGGAACCGGGACCCGGACCCTGAGAGGTGGGCGCGGGAGAAGCCATGGGTGTGCGCGCGTTAGGGGCGACTCGGGGCGACCTGGCCCGCCGCTTACCCAGCTCGGCGACGTCGGTCTGTCCTTCCGCCCCACCGCTCGCCGAGCCTCGCCGCCGGCTGCCGCCTGCAAGCAGCTCGGAATCACGGGCACGGCCACATCCACACGGAGTCCAGATGCATTAAAACCCACGTCCAGCCGCCTGCCACTTATCTGTATTCCTGAAGTGGCCGCTCGGGCTCCGCTCCGCGCCCCGCCGGCTCCGCCGCCCCGCAGCAGCCCCGCCGGGCGCAGCCGCCGGCTCGCTGGAGGCTCTAGGGGCGCCGAGGGGACGCGCGGGGGTGGCCAGCGGCGCCTGTGCGGGGCTAGCAGCACACCCCCCGGCTGTTGTCTTCGGATTTTTCCAGCTCGACTTTCCGGGCTCCTCTGACATCAGCGACCGCGGCGCTTCCTTCCTTCTCGCGGCTCCCGCTGGCTCACGGTCCCATTTCCTCCGGGAGCCTGGCTCTCCAGACCCGAGTCGCGCCTTGCCGCTCCCCACGGCCGCCGGGCTCTCGGGGTCTCGGGCGGAGGCAATCCGGCAGCGGCGCCCTCCGCCCTCCCGCTCCAGCCCTGCGCGGCCGCTCTGCACCCGGAGCGCGCTCTCCCGGCGGCGGCGAGCCCTGCGCCGGCTCCTATATTACCGTGCAGCTCATTATCATACAGGCCGCGCTTAACCCGCTCCGCGCCGGCCCGCGCGCCGCCCCCAGCCTGCGCCCCGCCCGCTTCCTCGCCGCCCCCCGGCGGCCCACAAAGGCCGGCCCTGTGGGTGCCCCGGCCGCTGCCTCGCACCCGGTGCCTCTCGGGCCCGCCGCTGGCTTTCAGTAGCTCAGGGGCCAGCAAGATGTGCCGGGGCTTGGGGACCCGATCGAGGCCTCGCCGCCAACGGGCTCAGCCCCGGAGGAGGGGCGCAGGCAGGGGGCGCTCTGGACGCAGGCGGTGCGGGCAGGGCCTGGGGGCTGGGCGCCCCCTCCCTCGAGTCACCTGTCACCGCGTGCCCAGAAATCTGAATGAGGGGCTAGCGAAGCGGGAGCCTCCCATGGTGGGTGGAGCGGGGGTCTGGGAATCTACGGGAGCAGATCTTCTCTTCTGCAGAATTTCAGAGCTGTCAAACGAGACTGGAAGTAGTTGTTAATTATTATTATGGTACTACGAGGATGAGCCTTGGTCTGGAGCTCAAGTTTCCAGCGCTTTAGGCACCCGGGGCGTCAGGCAAGTCCTGACTTGGGCTGACGGGGGAGCAGAGGGGAGCGATCTTTATCCAGACCCGGGGAGCCCGCCTCGCAGGGGAGTCTGGTGGCGGCAAGGGGTGAGGGTAACTCCCTTTAATAACCTAAGGAGAGGTTTTGGATTTGGGCGACAGTGTCTCCTCGGCGGCCTATGGGCCCGGATTCCGTGCCCCATAGCGCCAGCATCTCGGCAGCCTCTGGATTTGGCTTTCAGATAAGGGGCCTGCGAGCAAGACCTAGCGAGTTCGCAGGATCTGTGCAGACCCTGCTCGCACGCGCGAGTTTACTCTCCACGTCTCAGTCGGATAAGCTTCCTCTATTGCCCCCTCGTGGCCACAGTTTTCAGAGGTCTAAATAGAAGAAAATTAACTGACGCCTCAGCGTCAAGCAGTAAGGGTCCTGAGGGTAGGGAGGGAAAGGA